TGAAAAGTAAATGTCCACACTCTGGTGCATGTGACCCTGCGTTGTTTAGCAAATACCTCTCAATCCAGAGAGTGATAATAGTGCCAGAGACTTTCAGAACCCTGTGTATTTAAGGTAAATGCTCAGCAAAAAGCAGCACGTAATGAAGGCAAGCGTGGCCAAAATGTCTTTTTTTTTTTTTGCCTGGAAAAGTAACTTTTACTTGCAGAAGTAAAAAAAGTACTTTTGTAAATAGACTTACTTTTGTAAGGCAAAAATAAGTAAGTAAGTTTTGAATTTGTATCCTTAGTTCATTTTTCTAAAAGCCATGTTCTGTTCAGGAATGGAATGAAATGGAAATTAAATGAAATAGTTGACATAAAGTTGACTGAAATGAAAATAGTTGGCATATAAGAGAATTTCAGGAGGAATATGGTATATACTCTGTTCTTCATAGGGTGTATACATGAGGGTTCCTCATATATACACGAGACATCCTCATATGTCTTCTGTTGCGTTCTAGGAAGCTCCGTATAGCTGTTATTGTGTTAAAATCATCTCTTCTAGATGTGTCCTAAGGCTAGATGCTTTAATTTCCTACATAAAAACAAAAGCAAAAATCCCTCACTTTTTGAAGATTTGTTTGAATGATATACTATGGTTGGCTTCCAAAACACTCCCACTTCCAATGCAGTATTTAGTGATATCTTTTATAATCAATGTCCTTTAAAGTAGTTTACAGCAAAATTTTGCAAGTCTTAAATACTTTGGAATGCATCAGCATATTTCCCCATCTCATTATGTATTTGTAGTGCTACTCAGCTACTCACCTTTTTAATGCTCAATATCTTTTAAACAGAATATGAAACATGTACTCAAGATATCTTGGAACTACAATGGCATTTTGACTGTAAAAGCCGCCAGCTACAACAGGTAGAAAATCAAGTGCTTAAGATAGAAACAGCCAACAAAAAGTTTCAGGAGGATGTAGACTTCATGAAGAAACACAGCCCTCTGCTGGAGGAAAAGCTGAAGCGGGAAGGTGAAGCCCTGAACGATGTGTTAGCGGCTTATGAAAAGGTAACTAGAAATAATTCCAAGGGGTTTCTCATTAGAATCTTTCCACTAGATAGCCGCGAGTGACTTCAAAAAGCAGCAATATTTTGGTGGGACCAAAGACTGCTTTAAGTGCAGTACACAAAGTAGAGGCACACAGTTTGCAGTCTGCTTTATACCGGAGCTCGGAGCAGACGCGATCTAGGGAAGAGAAAATTAATGCTCTTGGCTTTTAATGCATGTCTTCTAAGCATATACGGCATACAATTGAACTTTATAAGTAGGTTGCGTTTGGCATTTTTCACCCCAACAGAAGCAGAGGAAGGCTTTTATCCATTTTATGCATAAATTCTTCTTCTCAGATTTCTCTGTGGGATATAGAGATGCTAAAGATTTTTGAAGAAAAAGCTGTAAGATTTTTTTTTTAATTGATGCTGCGCATTGTCTTCCTAATTTATTTTTTGAAATAACGACTTCAAAATTCTTTTTTGAGAAGCTGCTTAAAAAAAAAGCTTTTTCCTTGTTTTTCCTCTTTTCTTTCTAAGAAGTTACACTGCATATCGTAGGAACAGAGTTTGGTGTTACTCTAGCTCATTTATATATTTCATCGCAATACAATTACTATTTATTAGTTAAAATATTTATGTCTTTTATTGTGCTAGAATGTATGTATGTTTGTTTCTCATTTTCTGTTGTGTTTTTTTAATCCAATAGCCTTAAAAATAAAAGAAGCTGCCACTTTAATTTTCTTTGTAATTAAAACAATTATTTAATTTGAATCTCTAGCTTTTAATATCCAGAGAACCAGATGGAGCAGCTAAGTAAGTGTTGGATTATAATAATGATTTTAGATCATGTTAATTGCCGATATTTGCGGTTTTAGTTTCAAAGCAGAGGCAGTAGCCACGTGCATAGCTTCATTTGAAGTTATTAGGAACAAAGCAGTTCACTGCTGTTAATACCCTTGAAAATAGCCATCATTATTTGCATTGTCACAGGCCCTGTTTTATATCTGTGGCAGTGTGACTTGCACGTCCTTTAGGAGACCTCTAAGTAATGGTCCTGTCAGACTGCTGAGTGAAACCTTAGTGGCTCCCTTCAACTTTATTTCTGTCTTTCTGCTCCAGAGGTCACTATCTTCCCATGGAAGTAGCCACCTTTTCACAATAGTTTTGTTCAAGTTTTGTAATAGAAGTTCAACAGTTCAAGTTTTGTGATAGAAGGAGAGCCCTCTTGCTAACACTGGCTTCTTAATGACACACAATTTTACAAGAGATAGTCTGTTCTCTTTTACCACGATTGCATCTCTTGCAGACCACACAGTGTTTGCTGTTAGGCTGTATGATATCACAAGGTGTTGCTTCAAGGTTCTCACTTTAAAACAGCAGAGATTCAGACAAATATATAATCATTTTTGTATTTTGAACATTATAAATGATTTTTTCATAAAAACATCTTTCAGAAAAAAATGCTTTATTTTCTTAGGCATCAAAAATATATAATGACGTTCACTGCGAACTTGTGGAAATCCAAAATACAATGAAAAGAATTGATGAAGAGGCTGAAAAGGAGATAAAATCTATGTCTCAGAAAATCAAATATGCGGAGATGCTGTTTAGTCAATACAAGTAAGAGCTATTCAAAGCTGGCAGTTTTTAACAGTGATAATCAAAGCATAGAAAATTTGCATTTAGAAAAAAAAATAATTTTTTTATAATTGAAGAATAGTCTTCTATATATAAAGAATCATATATATAGGAACATTTTTCCTTGCTTACTGTTCCTTGCCTAAGGGGAGTAAGGAAGGGATAGATCAGTCAAACAAACAGCGTGTTTCATGAATCCTCCTTAGGCATGCAATTTTTACCTTATTTTACTCAGTTATTTATGATTTTTTAAACCCTTTGATAGATAGAACGTTTTACTGTCAGTCTTACTGACTGCACAACTTACTTATATCAACCATCAGCATTTACCATAGTACCATAGTTATAATAATAACTTAATTTCCAACTCACTTGTTAGCCAGAACAGTTCTAGCCAACAGCTCAAACATCTGAGCTTAGCAAATGTCATGCCTATATTTTCTTTTTTTTTAACCAGCAAACAAGGCTACTATAATTTTGTTGGATTGTAGGACAGCTTCTCCTACTGGCAGAAGAACCCTAGCTGTTGATAAGGACCCAGAAGATCCGTGGCAGTGAACAAGAATAGCGAGTGCTTTTGTTGTTGGTAGGAAGTTGTACTCGACTCTGCTGCCTATGCCTATGGCTGCTGGCTAGGCTGTGTTTGGTGACCAAGTGACATAGTGACTGTTTTCCCTTGAGCTGAGAGGAGCTTGCAGGCATAACTGAAAGAGCAGAAATTGGCAGGGTACCCTCCCTGGCAACAACAGATGTTTCAATACTGCAGCCGTGCGGCAGCAACTGTGCTTCAAACACCAGGTATTTCAAAAGCTGTGTATAATAATTACAGTGTACTTACCCTTTGAGGTAAGAAATAAATATGGTCCATGATTTTCATTCAGAACTACCTCATGTCCTCTAGGAATTTGTATCCCACTTCCATAATTCCACCTGTGCTATGCAAAGCCTGAGCAGAAACAGCACGTACAGTCCTGCTAATTCCAGACAGTCGATGCCAAAAGCCCTCGACATGCAATAGAAGGCGTAAACATGCCCTGCTTGTTGGTGCTTCTCTCCAGGCAGCAAAATTAGTGTAGTTATTGAGATGTACATGTAAACTGAAGTTTGGTCATCCCCCATGCAGCAGAGTCACTGCCAGGGACTGTTCCGTCTAATTCCAGTTCCTTCTGTCTTTTCAAGGCTCATTCTCCTTAGCGTTTGTTTTTGAGATGGCATCATTAGTTTACCGAGGAGCAATAAAACAGCAACCGCAGAGCAGAAGGGAAGAAGGGATTTTTGATCACAGTATTTCTTCATTCTCAAAAAAGAACAGGGGTATCTTTAGCTTTAGAAGAGGATTTTTTTTATCAAAGGATACATGTACCATCTCAAATTTCTACTTCTGTGCTAGTTCTGTCTCTTAAACTTTAAGACATTGCAGTTTTTTTTACTACAAGATGTCTCTTGCCAGTCATTGTTGTAGCTGTGAGAGCTTAGGGCACTGCCTATGACCTTTTTATTTCATATGAAAAGTAGGAATTAATTTTTTTTTTTTGTAAATAAACTGGTTTCGTTATCTATGGTAACAAAACGGTGAGTGGGCAGACTGGACTGACTACTGGAAATCACCATGTGATTCTCCAATGAAAGTTACCATATATGACTTGAAGAGTACGTGCAGAATAGGAGATAATACTTATATATGAACCTCTGGAATGACTCAGGTTGTTTTGTCTTGATAATGCCTGAAATTTTATATATAAGGATGCTGTGATCACTGTTAGCTCCTGCTTGGATTACAGTTGAGAGAAATCAGGCAGCACAGACCCTAATTCTGTAACCATAAAGTTCATTGCAGACCTTCCTGTTGCTTTTAATTTAAGGAAATATCAGGTCTGTAGTTTGTGAATCTAAGCTGTAAGGTAAGATGATAATTTTTTCTGTGTATTATGAATATCCTTGACTAACTTGTATTCTATGATTTTGGATTCCCTCTTCATTCCCTCTTACTTATCTCTTTTCCTAAGGCAGCTTTCATTATTTTCAGTATAGTTTAATAAGACTTCTCCTGTATCTTATGACTTGTCCGTGATGGTGTTTGTCTTCTTTTCATTTATCTGATATACTTTTCTGAAATGGGTAAATGGCTTCAATAAGGACATCTTATTTCTTATTATAATGTTTTTCATACGGTTTCTTTTTTATTCTAAAAGCTTTAGCTGTACTAAATGTTGAGTAGAATTTATAAGTATTATGAGAAAATATGTAGAGGTGTTTCTCAATTTGATACAGTTAATGAAGAATTTTAAGGTACTAACTGCTTAATCTTTTTCTCTCTGATGTATTTTTCCTCAGAGTACCAAATGTAATATGCTCTTGTCTTTCACATCTCTTTAGATTGTCTTGAAAATTTTCTCAAATTTCAATTCTTTCTTGTCTTGACTGTTACAAATCGTATTCTTTGCAGATCTTTGATTTTGCTAATCCTTACCCTTTCCAATCATTATATAACCAGACAACAGATATGGGATGTTGAGATGTCATGATGTTGACCCATTTAAAAGAAAACCGATCATTTAATCTTTTCTCAATAGCATTAGGATTCTTTATCTTACTCTATGACTGTTTAACTTTTGGTAGTCTTTTATGGGGCAGGGATGAGGTTGTTTATTTTTCTTTAGAATTCTCTCATTGAGTCCCACCTACGAGCCTGCTTTATTTTGGTAGTCTTGGTGAAACTGCAGGCTCTGAGTTTGTTTTACATACAAGAAAAAAAAATATTTGTGCAGATCTTCAGTTACTGGCCAATTACCACTTTTAAGTTTTCATGTTCTAAGGGGCATTATAATTGCTTTACAAAGATTCTGTATCCCTTTGAGACAAGTTGTAGTGTACAAAACATCCCAATGACCAAATTCATCATCTATGAAATGAAAACTACCATGTTTATTTCCTGGTTCATGTAGTTATGATTCGTATCACGGGACAGTGATACAGACTGTTGTGAATCTCGTAACCTGTTTTGTTTATGTGAATGCAAACTAAAGTAAAATTGATAATGAGAGAAGTGCTCTTAGCAATACCCACATTTACAGGAAAGAATTGAATAGAAGACTGTTTGTTCTGTTCCTAAGTGATCACCTTTTGTTTTTTTTTTTGTATCCTGTAGATTTCTTTTTCTTGCAGCCTTTTGCAGGAGTGGTAATTCAGGTCACACTTAAATTAGTAGGCTCTTCAGTTCTGTGTACTCAAAACCCTTCAGTTGCCATCTGAGGAGGACTAGAATAACATGAGATAGCTGTGAGAAAGGTAAATTTGCTGTGAGACAGACTTCAAGTACTGATCTTGAGTGGATTCTCTTCCGTGTGTTTAGTGGCATCAGGGAGAGAATGAAGAATGCTGCATGAAACTCCCAGTACTGATGGTGGAGTACATCTTACAATCATACAAGTGCATCAGACAGTCAGGCACATATTCTCTGTGGCTGAGAGCACTGTGTTTTTATTGATGTTATACTCACAAAAGTTATGGCCAATGAATACTATGAAAAGAAAAATTACATTGTGTAACATGACTCTGTTACATGTCTGTGACAGAAAAGAATTAAATAAATGTTTTCTAATTAAAGCCTTATATTTTCCCCAAGTTTTTTTTGTTCGTTTGTTTCATTTTGTTTTTTTAATATATAGGGTTGATGCTATAGGAAACTTTTTAAAGTTCTTAGATGTCGTGTGTGGAGCAGATTTCAAAAAATGTGCAGAGGAGCTTGCATTGTGCATAGTACGGGCTTCCACTGTTTGCACACAGATTCTCATATACTGTGTATGTTGCGTTTTTTATTTTATTATTTTTAGAATAAACTGAAATGTCATTGATATGTTTATTTTATGGATGCTGGGACCTACAAGAGTGGAGAATGTGTTAGGAGTATTTGATTTCATACTCATAATATACATTCTGTGACATTTCAGAAGTAACTTCTTTGCAAAATTAGTCTTTACTCCATCACTAGCCAGAGATCTTGGAAGCAAAGAGGAGTGTCTGTCAAGCAATCTTGTAGGAATGGTTCTTGAACTACTGGTGACATGTTCTCTTCATTGCTTTTTCTGTTGTTTTATACTGCGTTTAAGTGTGCAACACCTGGTTAAGGTTTTTATGGGCTGTATTTCAGTAAATGTCTTTAAATCGTGACTACTGTTTGTCTAAGTCCTGCTGCGGTGGGTGTATTTTGCTACTTAATGCAAACTCCAGAAATACGTTACTGACTGAGGTGGTTCTCCAGGGAGCATGAGGGAGCAATATTGAAAATTAAGGACAAGCACCACGGACACTGACAGAAGTCAGTGTAAGCTTTTAACCTGATCCCCTCCATTTCTCTTGCCTTTCACCAAATTCATTCTCATACACAGCTGTAAGAAAAAGCCTGTGCGTAGCCTGTCCCGTGGGAGTATTTTTATGGCTATTCTTGCAGTTATTGTTATCTGGTTTCCTTTTGATAATACAATGGCTGCTGATAAACCTGTGATTCAGAGTGTAAGGTCTTCACCTCCTCGTCTTTTATATGCAAGTTCCTTTTTACCCGAGGGACTGGAAAGTCTAACTGCACGATGACAACAAATATACTGGTTACATGACTATATAGAAGAAAAATGGATTTTTCTTCACAAATGACATTTGTTCGCTAAATGGTACTGTACTGGATTAATAAGAAGGCTCCGAACTAGGTTTATCCCTGAGTAGAGAAAGCTCTCCGTTTTTATTTACTTATTAATGTGGGATGTGAAACAAAGTGAACTGGCAGCATGAGTAGTTTTGATGTCTGGCTGAAATTGTATGAACCTGCCAGGGTAGATATTTGGAAGTTGTCTCATGCATACCTGTAAAGGAAATGTAGTCACCATAGAGAACCAAAATAAATCTTTATTAATTCAGATCTACTTTACATTTTCCTTTATGGAGAGGGACTACCTTGGAATATCTCCAATAGATAGATTCACTTTGTGTGTATTTCTATTAGGAATGAGTTAAAGCATTCCGAAAGTATTTGGACCAAATACTGTATAAAGTTAAAAGAAACAGAGGAGAAGATTATAAAGGATGAAAAACACCTTGAGGAGTTAGTGAAGCAAAAAGCAGAAATCCAGGAAGATGCAAAATGTTGGAACAGCAAAGTGAGTATTGAATATTTATAAGCAAGCAAGTAAATGAGTATCTTTTATTGAAAAGTACAGTAATGCCTGAATACTTTGTGTGTTTAAAAGTTAAGGTTCTCTCTATAAAAGCAAAAAGTAAATACTGATTTTTTTCCGTTGGGCACCTTGTACTGTTGTATGGGACACCTTCAAATCCAAAGATCATTGCACTGCCTGACGAGGAGTTTGCACTTAACAGATGTGTGCAGTACTAATGGAAAATGGGATGAAGCAGATCTAAAGCAGTGGCTAAGTGCCTGGGACTGTGGTGTGTATGTAAACGTGTGTGTGTGTGTAAACATATGTGTGTGTTTATGTGGTTGGGCATGCTTGCAGTCTAGACGTATCCCAGCTGGACCCATATCTCTAAGGATAAGGCTTTGCCAAGTTCTGCCAGGATTGCTCAGCTTCTGCAGAGGAAGGAGGGTGATGAGGGAAAAAAAGGTTTATCAAAATCCCAGTGAGCAGGGAAGCCGTTACTTATCTGAGGCCAGTTTAGATGTTTTTCTTACCCTGTGGATGTTTGCTTCCTTTAACATCCTTGTTTCCCTAAGTTCAAGTAATCACCGATCTGTCATTGAATCTATGTATGAGTCTCTGTATTAAGTCAGCAAAGGATATTGGGAAATATTGGAACACTAAAGACAATTTTGAGGCTGAGAGGAACTAATGGAGTCAATTATACCACTTGCACCCTGCCAGTTCATATATGACATAAGTATATGCTTACTGAACTCTAAAGATAATAAAGATAATGGGCATGTACATATGAATAACAAAGCATGAAATATCCCAGAATCCCAGAATGGTTGAGGTTGGCAGGGACCTCTAGGGATCACCCAGTCCAGCCCTGCTCCAGCAGGGACACCCAGAGCAGGGGCACAGGGTCCATCCAGGCGGGTTTGGAGATCTCCAGAGCAGGAGCCTCCACAGCCTCTCTGGGCAGCCTGTGCCAGGGCTCTGGCACCCTCACACCAAAGAAGTTCTTCCTCACATGGACATGGAGCTACCTGGGGTTCAGCTTGTGCCCGTTACCCCTTGTCCTGTCACTGGCCACCACCAAGAAGAGCCTGGCCCCATCCTCCCTACATTCTCCCCTCAGGGACTTGTACATGTCGCTCAGATCTCCTCTCAGCCTTCTCCTCCAGGTTAAACAGTCCCAGCTCGCTTAGTCCTTCCTCGTAGATACTGTTCAGTAACCTTCATTTCTTACCTCTATTTTAAATTTATTTTTAAATATGTTGTTTAATTGTTGCAAATAAATATAGGATGTATTTATATCATTTAATTATAACATGTTTTCTAGATAGAAGATTTGAATAATAAAATAGCTGCCCAAGAAAATGAGAACATAAAAATATCAGAGGCTTGTTCTGAAGTGACAAAAGCTACTGAAAAATTAGTAAGTTTTTTTGTTGTTTTTTATATAACTGAAATAGGTGCTTGCATCATCTATGCTAGCCTGAAATAGTTTCAGTTTCTACTAAATAATGTCTTAATGTCTTAACATTCCTTAGAAATTCACCTGGGAAAGGGATCTACAGACTATAAAAAAAAAGCTACTCAATATTAGTGAAGAACTGAATGCTTTGAAACATGAAAATAAAGAACTTCTTCGGGAAAGTGAAGAATTTTTTCATAATTCTGCAGATAGGTAATTAAAACATTATGCAATGTAAATGTAGGAAGCAATTGTTATGCTTTAACTGAAAGCATGCCTATAAAAGAGAACCTCACTTCTGTTGTTTTAAGTCTGTGTGTAGTTTTTCAATAATTTAAAATCAAGTCTGGATGAAATTTACCATTTATCTTTTTTGACCTTCATTTAAAATTCAAGAACAAAACTAAAATTCTACCAGAAATAAAGTATTAAGTTCGTCAATTATTTTTGTTTTAAAAAAGGAATATTCTAAAAAAAGAATATTCTTTTTGTTAACAGAAAACTCTGTTTCCAAAACTTTTTTGTTATCACTTATGACATATATTTCATTTTACTTCGTATTTTACTTTATTTTTATTTTTTAATATTTTAATATTACAAAATTGTAATGTTTACTTTATAGTATTTTATTATAAAGTCATATATATTAATATATGTATTAATGAGATGTGGGAAAAGAGGAAAAAAATAAAAGAAAAAAGAGAAAAAAGAAAGCAGATAGATAGGTGCACACAGTTTCCTAATGCCCTAAGTTAGAGCTTACCTTTATATACCAAAGTCAACCAACCTTGAGACACAAAGGGGTAAAGATCCAGGTTTCATGAGTTCTGCTGTTTATGGACATATATATTAAGATGATTAGAACATTTTAGAATTAGAGAACATTGTCGTCTTAATTTTTTTTTTTGCAATTATATTGACTAATTGACTAGTTTTTATATGGATTAAGACTATTTTATTTGTTCATAGTTGTAAGGCAATGAAGAGGGATTTTGCCTTTGTTTGGAATATTAACTGGTAGCTGAAAGATGAGTCACAAGCTTCTAAGAATATGTACAGGCAAACATGGAGAGAGAAGGGAATTTTTGGAAAACTGCTTTGGGAAGTATCATTAGCTGAGATTGTATTTTGCAGTAAATGTTTACAAGCAACCCAGAAAGAATGGACAAATTCATGAGAGAAATCCTTTGAGTGTTATTCATTTCAACTATAGTGTGTATGACAGTGAGTCTGTATGACTATTGTGTTCTTCAACATGTTCAGGAGTTCAAGAAGTGTATTTGAAAGTTCAGATCCAAGAGCCAGAGAATGATTAAGACATTTCCTGGCAGTGAAGGATTCCAGGAGCTCAGTCTATTTATATCTTCAAAGGATGATTTGAAGACAACGTTGAATCTCTTGCCTTATTTAAGAAATATTTGTCAGGGCATGTCAGAACATTTGTTTCAGATTCAGAGCCAACCATAGCAATTCTCGCAGCTCTTCCTCAACATATTCATGTTTTATTTTCTTTCTGAGTGCACTCTGATTTTAGTATGTCCTTTTTTATTGGGGAAAAATCGCTATGTTTTGTGAAATTGCTGTAATTCATGAGAACGTAATTTCTAAAACCAATACATTGTCTTGTGTTAGTCTAAGAATTGGAGTATTTGTTCTGATTAATTGTATACAAACAGGAGTCCTGGCACTTTACTTAAGCAGGACTAAAAATGAGCGTTTGGCCACTTCCTAAAAGGCTACAAGAAGGTGAAAGAACTTGTTTCTCATCTTCTTTCTGGGATGCTTCGTTGTGGGTCGTTCCGATTTAGATCATGCAGTACATTCAGGAAATAAATCTCTTGGTCATCTAAGTTTTTAGTGACACCTGCACTCTAAATATTCCTATTTTCTGTACAAGGTGAGTATAACTCTCATAAAGTTATGGTTATGTCACAGCACCTGAAACTACTCACATTGCTAACTTGACTGATGTGCAGGAAAGTGTCATCATTGTATGTGACACAGGCAGATCTATGGAAGTCTAAAGAATAGAAGTGTTACTACCTTCTCATATGATACTTCCTAACTGAATTGTGTTAGACTTGGAAGGACAAGAGTATTTGTATTGCCTCCCTATAAACAGCAAGACCTGTGTTGCTCTTTCTTATTATCATCTAAGGCTAATTTGGGCCATTCGCTTGCATAGTCTCAGCTCTCTTTTTCCTAACATGCTTATGTGACTGGATGCTTTACTCCACATAGTAGATTTTTGTCATCTCCAGTGTATTAATTTACAAGAAACAAGATCTTACTGGTATATGCCAAGATTGCCAAGTTGAGTTGTTGTTTGATTGGTTGGTTTTGGTCTCATCAGTTGGACATAGGCCTTTGTTTAAGAACTGCCTAACTTGGTTGGTCACTACGCAGGACTTTCTATCAAGCAGCAGCAGTAGTGCCTCCAGTTTCACATAGTCTGGTAGGGTTATTACAACTTCTGCAATATCTCTGAAAAACATCTGCATTATGATTTTATGTGAAGATGTGAAGCAGTCACTTATGGCTCTAAACACAGTGTCTTTCAGGCGTGTGGCATTCCTAAAGCTTCCAGATCTTCTTTTAAGTATTGGGAAAATCATACTGCTGTCTCAGTTCTCTCAGGACTGTGAGGTTTGTCTTCATCACATTAGTCAACTGCTTGAGCGTTGGTTATGACAGTCCTTTAACAGAGGAAGGGTAGTTGTAGTACATGCTACACACATGGTAGATGTAGTTCACCAAGATGCATAATGACAATATTCCTTGTTCTCTTGGTTTGTCCTTCTGTGTTATTTGAATTTCAGAAAGGCAAATTAAGTTGATGTGGGCCTACACTGCCTTACAAAGTGCAAAAATGTTCAAGAATTATATAAAAGATACTGCTGATTGTAAAACTGTGTATTTAGGATGAGTGGTTCATGTGCACTGAAAGTAGAATATGTGTGTATCTATGTGTAAGAAATAATTTATGAAGATTAGTCCTTGTGCAGTAACCTTTGCACTTTGCAAGGTTATTTATGCTTTCTTCTTTTAACTGAGCAAATGATACTCTGTATTTTGAGAGATCATTCTGGCCCCTAATTCAACTGGGGATATGGGTAATCAGTGCAGGGTTTGCAGGTTAAGTATGATGTGTGTGGCCTGTGAGGATCCTTACAGTACTGTTCAGTTTTGTCATGCTGATTCAGCAGATATCCTCAGTGAGCAGTTTATTTTTTCAGGAATCCCATCCTTCCATAAAGAAACATTTGATTGGAGAACATTAAGTTCTAATTATACAGGGGTTATACCTGTGGATTGACCTGTTGGGAGTTTTTTATTTCTATTAGTTTGTTTTCTGCTCTGCAATCTGATATTCTAATCTGATAATATTTTAAGTTCACTTCAGTTAAAAAGCTCACTTCTAAAGAATGTTTTTCTTTCTTATTACTGTAATAAAGTGAACTACAACTGTGTTATGCTACTTAAGAATTATACAAATAGCAAAATGCTGAATGGCTGACCACAACACTAGTATGAAGTATTCCCAGCACTGGCATGAAGTACTCTGTTCCTTGAACATGCTCATATATTATAAGAAAGACAGATGAACTGACGTTGTGCGAGTAATATTAATATTTTTAGTGGCTCTTTTTGCCATTTTCTCCTTATCCAAAAATGATAGTGTTATATTACAGATTAATAATGCAGATGTGCAAGACAAAAATGTGTAATAGTTTGATATCAGTGAACTGTAAAGGCAAATGCTTATGAAAAAAGAGGATTTTTGGGGAAAAGCATGCTGTTTTCAGCATCAAAGCAGAAGGATAATATTGCTTTTGATTTTTATTTAAAAATATTTTATATTATTCAATAAATTTTTCTTTTTATTTTATCCCATATACTTTATAAGCAAGTAATGTGAAGTAATATCATTTCATTTTATTTCAATAGCTCAAGAAAAAAGAAGAAATATGAGTCAGAAATAAAGACTGTCTGCAAAAACATACATAAAGTTGAAGAGCAAATACAAAGAGTGAAGAAAGATCTCTATGATGCTGAATTGTCTTACAGTGAAAAAAAAGCAAAGTATGACGACTTGGAAAAAAAAATAACAAGTGAAAAAATCCACTACAAGGTTGTACATTTTTTAATCATTTTATAGTGGAAAAATAGAAAATACTGCCATTCATATCAGAAATTTATTGTTACGAGCAATCTAGTATCAAGGAAATAATAACACAAAACTTTCGATTTTTAGCAAGTGTTTTAAAACCCTCAAAAAGAGTGGATAACTGTAACCTCTTGAGGAGAAACTAAACTGATTACTGAATGGCCAGAAGCAGTGAAAGGCTGAAGATTACAGTTGACAGACTCCAACCATACAAAGTTCTTGTGATTCCTAAATGATGTGAAATGTATGGAAGTAAATAACAATCTCATTCTTTATATAAGTCAATGATCAGAGCAATCTGATACAATTTGTTGATACTAAATTGCCATTGAAACTAAAACACTACATTATTTTTTTTTCTTTCGAAGTAGGATGTGATTGGTTATCAAGAATTGTTATTGAAAGTCATCCTGATGTAGCAACCTTGCAATGTCTGTGAAGAATTGCATGTTTTTGATGTTTTTTTTTCCGTTGCCCAATTCTTAGTAAATAATCCTGAACATCTGCATAGTGCTTTTTAGGATCAGTAGTACTGTAATGTGTAAGATTCAGCATGCAGAAATACAGATGAAAAGAATGCAATATGTGGAATTTTTATATCCGCCATAAAATATAAAAAGGTGGTCTGTGTATTTGTCCACAAATACACTTTCCTTTTTTAATAGTCTGATACTTTAGACAAACTGTGTTCACTCTCATTGCAATGTTAGTGTTAATCACAGAACCACAGAATCACAGAATGGCTAAGGTTGGAAGGGACCTCTAGGGATCATCTTGTCCATGTATTTATTTCTAATGCGTTACTTCTTCTTTTTTTTTTTTTTTAGCAATTGGAGGTGACTATTAAAAAAGAAATTCAAGTTCAAAAAGGAATTGTGAGAAAGATTCAGGTAAATATCACAATAACCAGTTTACGTCAAATTGAAATTCTTCCACAGTTATGCAGTTGTTGTTTTGTGTTTATTTGCTTGTTTTTACTTCACAGTTTCTGTAGAGGGTGCATTGAGACCTTAGCCATACTTCATGGCAATGCAACACTAACACAATTTTCCTCCTAGCGTACCCTGTCAAATTAACACCAATGGTTTAGTATTTGGATTGAGAATGTAGTTCTTTTGGTCTGGTCTGCACTGATACTTTCTGACCATCCTCATAGAAATGCTGATATCTTTTCAGCGTTTTTCAGCGTTGAAGTATCCTTCAAAGTTTCAATCCAGCAAAATAAAGACCTTACTGAGACAGAAGACCAAGTAGAATCAGTGACTGTTGAACTGGCTTTGATACTGTCTTTGCCCTGGTTCCTGTTGACACGATAAAGTACTGGATTTCCAGGGGTTACTAGTGCTGCTGGGATTTTTAGTCTGCTTACAAGTCCTGTATGGAGATGTGATACAGTGGTAATGGCAACAACCCTTTTGCACTGGCTGAATCAGTTTCCTTGCAAGAAGTAAAAAAAAAACAAAACTCTTTCATACAACTTAGTACCAGTTGCTTGCTTGCTTCTCGTCCAAGATTCCTCTAATACTGAAGATCTGCTGTGGTCATTAACATAGCAGTACATAACCCATCCTGAGAACTTTTTCATAGTTGGTAGGTGAATGCATCTGAGATTCATGTCTTTCTTCATATGAGGGAAAAATATTCCCAGTACTGTGCCTCCCACACTCACCGTTTTTGTTCATCTTATTTCATCCCTCCTCATCATCACTCCTACGTTGTCACTATTCTGGTGTTCTGAACCCTTATATTTGCTTCATTCATAGTCTCCATCTTGCTTCTGTTATGATCACCCGTTCTTTGATTTTGAACTTTGCAGTAGCAGAGTCGAGTACCTGGGTCTCCCAGGTTTAGAAAGATGAGCCCTGAGAGTGGTCTTGAATGCCCTGTTTATCTCAGGTGCTAGTAAAAAGTGTTAAACATTCCTCTTCTAAGCCATGTGGTGTACAAGATCTCTGTTACGTGTATTTGTGGGCTGTGAAGACCCCTCTGGTTTCCAGGGTTTGTATCAGAAAAGGATGAAGAAAACACACCTGGGCCTGACTGCCATAGCATGACAGGTTGGATTTGGTGCTTCCTCGCTTTTTGGGCCTCAGTGCTTGTCATTTAGATCATTCACTGGAACAAAAATTCTCCTTTCTCTTCTCTTCATTTTGACAAAGATCACTCAAGCAAATTTTAGCTAAAAGATTCTTTTGACCTACATATGGAAAAAGAAAAAATCCCTAAGAGAATGTAGATTTAGTGCTCAGAACCATCTTTTTTGTCCTTTCTTTTTTTCATCACAGTTCATGTGTTTTTAGAATATTTTATTTTTTGAGTTCTTGATCATATCCTACACTTCTCAGGTGGGTTTTTTAGTTGTTGTTTGTTTGTTTGAATGTTTTGTTTTCCTTCTAAAGCTGAAGCTCTGTCACAGTCTCCATACCCCTGCTGTCAAGAGAGTTGTGTCCTACTAATAGGACAAAACTTAATCATGATGTTAAGGACTGTTGCAGGATCTAAGAACTAAGCTATCACTAATGAGTTACTGTCAAAGTGCATAGCAGTTACGCAGTGGGCTGTTCTTGCACAGCTCCTGAAGGCATCCAAGCTTAAAGCACCAGAAAATGAGAAATATTAATATTTTCCTGCAAATCTTAACCATTTTTGCTACCAACTATGTTGTCATCTGGAACTTTATCCATAACTTCACTAAATACTGTTTCATTATATCGAATTTAAAATATTATGCAGCATGGAGTACTTCCAATAAGGAGGAATATGTGTGTAGGTGTCTTTTCATCGGAGGGTTTTTTCACTCTTTAAATAAATATTTAACATTTTAGGAAGGAAGCTCTTTTATGGAATCATTTTCTAGTAGTTGCTGATGTAATACTGTAATTTCATTGTATGCTTCAAAGTAATGCATACATACTTGTTTTTGCCAATTCAGCTGGCTGTTCAATCTTTCTTGTTCAAGGGCTTCTGGCATATTCTGGCTTAATGACTAATTTTTATTTCATTTTGAGGATATTTTAAATCTCCTTATGTGTTTCTTAACCTCTGATTTTTGTGCATGTATGTAGAATTAATTTTTGGTCAGTTCATCATATCTAATTAAGAGTATAAATGTTCTTTCAAAATTGGATTTTTTTCATGTTCTGTTTTTGCTTCTGGTTTATATATTGCAAACTAATTCTACCTATACTCTTAAAAAACAGGTTGAGATTAAAGCAATTTATAGTGAGCTGGAGGAAAAACGAAAAGAGGGATTGAAGAAAAAAGAAGAAGACATGAAGAGAATAGAAGAGATTGAGAGACCAGTAGCTGAACTAGAAACAAAATTTAGAAGAAATAAAGATACATTTAAAGAAAACCATGAGGTAAATTGGTAGATTCAAGAATACTCACTAGGTTATTTGCTGTTTAGGTAGTACAAAGCAAAACAAAACAAAGAAACCCAACAAACGTGTAGCCCAGAATTCAGGTGTGATCCTATACTGTATGCTATTGCCCAGATTTTCAATGAAGGATTATACTGTATTTGTGAAACAAAGCATCAGCCTTAGTTTTGAACTTCCTTGCTTTCCTTATTAGACAAAGTCTTTCTCTTGTGTGATCTATTTTGATACAAAAGGGAAGAATATGCACTATTTGCTTATATTTCCTCTATACCTCTTTGCTATAGCTATAAGATGAAGAGAACAAACTATGTGTGAGAGTGTATTTACAGGCCAGGGACTCTTTTTCCTAATTCATGAGTAATAACAATCACAATTTTTTCATTCCTCTTGTGAAGGGTCTGCTGTCTGTAATGATAGAAATAGATATTTGTCTTGGAAACAAGTTCTCAACCTATTTGAATTGTCTAAATTAAATATGCCAGGAGGTCCATTCCTTTTTCCTTTTGCTTCTGGTAGAGCCCTTTCTACTGTCACGATCGGACGCACTTCTGTTGGCCCCTCTGGTCATCTTGGAAGGATGGCCAAGGGGCCGTTTTCCTCCCGTTGTCCGATGATGCCCTCGTAGCCTCTTCTGTCATATTTTCAGGATATGTGAATGGGTCAACCTCAGGAACAGCCACAAACTGAAGCACCAAAAGTTCCACAGGAACTTAAGGAAAAAATTCTTAACAGTGAGGGTGGCAGAGCACTGGACAGACTGCCCAGAGAGGTTGTGGAGTCTCCTTCTCTGGAGATCTTCAAACCCGCTTGGACGCAGTCCTGTGCCACGTGCTCTAGGTGACCCTGCGTGTGCAGGGGGTTGGACTAGATGATCTCTAGAGGTCCCTTCCAACCTTAAGCGTTCTGTGATCTATTCTATGATTCTATGAACATGTAACCTTTGTTACTTACTTAACAGAGTAACCTTTGTCTATTCCTCCTCAAAAGGATAACAGAAATGCTAAATAAAAGTGTATGACTGAGAAGCACACCTTCTTTAGGTTTATCTCGTCTTTTAGATCTGATGACTTCTGAGGTCTTTCAAAGTGTTGCATACGAAATGAGTGCTACAAGGGTGGTAATAGAGGACAGGGTGTACAGTGACATTGCTGTGTAAATCAGCTACTGTGTTTAGAATCACAGTGGGATGATGATGGATGCTTTTGGAAAATACCTGAGCTAACTGAATAGCTCAGTTCACTAGCTGTCCTACAAATATGAGCCTGAAGCAAGGTGGACAGGCATTTGCAGACAGTGCAGCAATGCACATAGTTCCATATCCCCCACCACCTCAACCAAAATACGTAGAAACAGTCCTTTCTTTTCTGAAATGGCATGAGATATCCAGACTCTAAACCAAACATAATTTGGTTAGGACCAAGCATAATAGCTGTACATTATATTTCAGAAAAAAACTCAGACAAAACCATTCGATAATTATTTTGCAGAACTGTGTGAAATTTATTCAGAGATTTTTTTAAAAATTAAAAGTATTTCCTTTTTTGCACACTCCTTTTGCACCCTTGTACTTTTGGGGAAGCTCTGAGTCTTCTGTCATGATTGCAACACTTTGGCTTTCACATTTGTATGACGGGGTGGTCAGGGACACCTTGTTCACTGTGAGAAGCAGCTACACAATCTAGAGAACGTATTTGAAGCTTTACTTTTTTGGCAAAGGAAATAAATGTCTTAGGAAATGGAACGAAAATACAGTAATCAATGTGTTTCAAGAAATAATTATTTCTTAACTGTGTGAAAGAGGTGGGCATTTCCAATGGACGTTACTGCCAGAAAAGAAAAAGCAGAATGTCTTCATTTTTATTTCAAAATAAAGAGGAAACAAAATTGTTGGTTTTGTACAGAACCAGGGATAGTTTTCCGTAAGCCATATATTTTTTATATAGCATTCTTTTAGATAAATAAGATCAATGTTTTTTTGAACATGTTCAGACCAGTGCACAGATACAATAATTTTTGCTGCTGCTTCTCACCCATGTGATGTTTTTGTCTCTGAATCAGCCTGTAGCTGTCTGAGTAGCAGTATGTAGCCTGTCACTGGAGATCCTCTTCCACAGGTTTTAGTCAGACCAGTGCACAGATACAATAATTTATGCTGCCTCTTCTCACCCATGTGATGTGTTTGTCTCAGAATCAGCCTGTAGCCTTCTAGTTCAGCTGTCTGAGTAGCAGTAAGTAGCTTGTCACTGGAGATCCACAGGTTTTATTTTTATTCAATCCTCTTCCACAGGTTTTATTTTTATTCAATCTGAAGGGTTCTTTGCAGCATCTTTGTGTAGTGATATCTTGCCATTTTTGGAGGAGAGATGGAGGGTGTTGAATTGTTTCACTTCAGATAATGGATTGTATGATCGTTTATTTTCAGTGCAGGTTTAATAAGTCAAATTGAATTATTTTTAAAAAATACCTTCTAATAGCTAATAGTATTTTCAAAACAACGCGTTAATGGCAGTGACTAATGTTGTTAGCCCTTCCCCAGCTGAAACTAAATAGAAACAATGTGACAAAGATCACATCATTAGTCTCTGGGAAACCTAGGGAGGTGTGTTGTAGGCTATACATCATCGCCTGTGCCTGGGTGTTCACTTCTGGTTTAAAAGCTTGGAAGGAAAGTTTGCACAGGGAGATTTGAATGGGAATGATGTGTAAAAGGTATTGGGAATTTCAGGGAAGAAGTTTCTCATTGATTAAAGGTTTAAAATATTCTTTCAGAGTAGAAATATTATTACCCATTTTAGTGTTCTTTGTTATATATGAACATAGACCTTGAGTAACATAACTATTGTGCAATCTGTATATACAATTTAAAGTTTTACTTATTACTTTCTTCAATAATGATTTCTATCCTTTAATAGTTGACACAGTTTTAATCCAATAGACAAGAACTGTTTTTCTCGATGTGCTAGTTAATAATAGAATAGGTTAATGAAGAATATAAAAACGTAATATCGCAGTGTTTTATTTTCTTCCTTCTTCCATTTTCTGATTAACTGTCCCACTTCTAATTTCTTATATTGTAATGATCATAAATCATAAGCATTTCTTTTGTGCTTTTTAGAACTCCCATGGCAGCTATTCAAAATACATATTTTGAATACAAAACTTTACTTTCTTTTGCCAAGTAATAAATAAAGAAATACGTGGAGAATAAAAGAAGTTAAATTTTGATGTAAAACAGTAAATGCTATATGAAGCAGCAAAGATATATCCTATTTTCAAGTTTGGGATTTTGTCATTCAAAGTGCAGAGTATATAAACATAGAAAGTAATATATAGATAGAATTGCAGATATTTAAAGGGAAACAAAAATATGCTTGTGAATGGTAATTCTTAAAGCAGTTATTTAACAACTGATATATTTCTACAGAAAGGAGAAAAATAACTTTTGAACACTAACACATCTGCTTGTGCATATATTTTCCAGAAACTGTTGTGTTTGGATCAGAAGGCACAAGAGCTAGATAAGGAGCAGAAGGAAACAGAACAACAACTGGAACAAAAAAGTACTACTCTGCAGCAGCAATTAAATGATATACAGGTGAATAATGTAGTGCTTGTATGGCTTTTTGGAAATATATTTAATTCCAAAGGCTAGGCTGTCATTTCTGCGCAGTTGCTTTGGATGTATGTGTATTCCTGCAGTGTAGGTACTATTTTCTGTCTCTTGCTTGAACTAACCTATCAGGTCCATAGCCTTGAGACAGGGTGAAGTACAAAGCAGAATTGATATTGGGGTCATTGAGAAGTCCTTTGCTTTCTTCATTTGCTACACTGGCTCAGATTGCTTGCGGGGCTTTTGAAATACAATGGAGAAAATCAATAAAGGAAGAAAAAGATTCTGGTATAATAACCAGTGCCTGCTGATTGCACGTTTGCTCAGCAGATGGCATCTTTTTGTAAATGATGGCTTATATCTACTCTATGAGTTACTAAACTCTATAACCCACCAAAGGAAATTACTTGAATTTCATTATTGAGCACTATGCTTTATAAAAATATGGTTATAAACATTATAAGAAACAAGCATTTTGTTTTCAAGAGTCTATTCATTTTTATTATCTTTTCGTTTTATATTGTATGAACTTAAGTTATTCATTAATAATATCAAAGTGTGTCACAGAGAGAAAAAAGGTTTTCACGTAGCTCAGAATAACTGGTAGCCTATATAGTAAAACAGCAAGACTTTGACTTCCTGTATAGAGGACTGATCTTAAATTAATAGTTGGAAAATTCTTTGATTCTCTCAGGTTTCTAAATTTGGCAAGGAAGACAGATTTTTTACACCCCTCCCTGTTAATGATTGTTTTCTACCAAACTGATGGTTTACAGAAAGATCATAGAACACGTGGAAATGACTGATGAGTCAGCCTACAGGTAGTCAGGAACTACGCTGTTTTTAAGGAGATTTCCTTCTTATATATTTTTTTTGGAGGCTGCTTCTACTAATAACTGTGTCAATAACTCTATCTGTTGGTCATCTGAGCAAAATTTGAGATAGTGGAGTAGCATTCTGGGTAAGTGGAATAAAACATATTTTTAATGAGATTACTGATCACAGAATCCTAGAATGGTTGGGGTTGGCCGGGACCTCTAGGGATCACCCAGTCCAACCCCTGCTCCAGCAGGGACACCCAGAGCAGGGGCACAGGGTCCATCCAGGCGGGTTTGGAGATCTCCAGAGCAGGAGCCTCCACAGCCTCTCTGGGCAGCCTGTGCCAGGGCTCTGGCACCCTCACACCAAAGAAGTTCTTCCTCGTATGAAGAGGAAGATGAAACTTGAGATGGCACTTCCTTTTTTAATTGAATTTATGCCCATTACCCCTTGTCCTGTCATTGGCCACCACTGAGAAGAGTTTTGCCCCATCCTCTTAATGTCTAGTAACAATATTTGGGTAGCTTAAAAGTTACATTCTTAGAGTCTGATATAGCATCTGGTAGCTCTGCAAAGGAATCAGCTGAAGCTATTTTTATCAGTAATAATACAGCCTTGTTTCCACCTATTAGATAAGGCATATTAGATAGGTGGGAGAGGATTGACTCGGAAGCAAAGATGCTGTGGCGTTGGCAACGTGGGACGAACCTAGGATTAATCAGATAAAAAGCACACGTGATCATAGGAAAACGAGGCTTCTTATGACTTGTTAAGAATAACTTGTTTAACGTTTGTCCTGTGTGACATGATCTTACAGCGAAAATGGCTATGATTCTACAGTGTTCTTAGTGCAGAAATAATATGGGAAATCCAACATCCAGATGATCAAGCAATTCACCCAATCTTTCATAATTTCTCTCTTTTTGGACAAGGTGAATCATTTGCTTCTCACCATTGAATTCTAAGTAACTTAGTTTGGCTTGCTGGCACTTAAATGTCTAAAATCAAAATACCTAGTTAAGAGCAGGTGAATTCTACTCTGTAATTCATTTGTCGTCTTTTCAGCTAAGAAAAAATGGGTTCATTAGGTAGTGACCCAATGTCAAGGAACTCTTTCAGGCTAGATAAGACATTGGCTGTTACCCACTGCAGCAAGCCAAAAAGACATTCAGTCCTACCAACATTTGGATCATGGAATGTAGAGTATCTGAGCATTTATGTTTGTTTGCTTTAAAACCTCATTGTGAAGTCTTCTAAAATAGATACCAGATTTCACTGATTAATGGCTAGTGTTCCATTTCATTGGAAGCCAATCTTAGGGTTTTTGTTTGTTTGTTGTTTTTATCTGTCTTCTCAGTTGTAAAGATTAGAACTCCCAAAGCAAATAAAAGAAGTCAAAGAAAATTCTTTTGTATTGGTGGTTTTGTTATAAAGTAGCTCGTATGTGAACTTGCTATTCTTGGACAAAAATAAAGGTCGTGATTTTTTCTGTACATATTTATATAATTAGGTCCTGGGCATCTCAGATTTCACTATTTCATAAAGTTTAAGGCCAGGCCAGCTGTGGCATCCTGTATATCACAGGATATTTCTCCAGGTTCTCCTGGAATTGAGTCTAAGCTTATAAGAGTTTTCCTCAGAGGTTTGAGACTCTGTAGGCAGTTCAATTGCCTCAGGGTTTGCATTATTTACCATATCTTCATTTCCTTTTAACGATTTTATGTTCCTGCTTGCAATCTGAATTTTCTATCTAATCCTGTACAGAAACTTCATAAAATTCAGATGGAGGCCTGAGAAGTGTCTTGTATTTGTGGCACCTTGAACACTGTAATTTTTTATTGTTGTTGTTGTTGCTGTTGATATCTGTTACAAAAATACTGATTCTTGAATTTTTGAGCCAACCTTTTAGGTATCCTTTAAGAAGCCTTTTTCTTTCTAAGGAAAGAAAAAAATAGACTATACATCAGGCTACTGCTTGAGCCATAATAAGGCAGTATTTACAGAAGAATTGTAATCTTTAAATACTCTGGCACATTCTTTGTCTAATGAAATGTGAGGTCTTGAAATTTAGTATTCATATGGGGATTGGTATGGAAATTTAGTATTCATATTCATAACATACTTAAATTATATATATGTAGTGTGTGTCCGTGTGTGTAAGGGTTATCAAAAGGTATTGTCCTCCTTCTCAATTTAACTCACTTACATAGCTCCTCACAACTCATTAGTATAGATTACAAGATTTAATTTTTCTTGCATGCAACAAGACCACTTTAAAAGTATTAGCTACAAGTAGACTCCCACTTGTGTATTACTGTTTTGCTGCCATGGTGTTTTATGTTTACCCCTTTTGTTTTGGAGAAGCTGCATTTTTTTTTTTTTACCAAATACTGTTTCTATTGAAAGTAATGTTTGCTTCTATAATGAATCTTTACATTTTCTTGACCCTGTGGCAGTCAGCCACTTTTTGAATGGAAAAGAACTTTGAATCTAAAATGAAAGTCCCCTGCAGAACAGGGACTTCAGTGAAAAAATATATATATTTAAAGTTTTTCATCAGGCTTCAGTTTTCAACGGAGACAGATACATCAGCATCTCTTTGAAAAGGAGTGTACTTGTAGATGAGAAAAGTTTTAAAGCTGAATTCACAAGTCTTATACTCTGTGCTTTAGTCATTCACTATCTATAGTGTAGCACAACTGTTCTTCATATCTGAGAGGAAAATTTAGTTGCCTATTTGTCAACTAAATGAATAATAGCAGTTTTTCAGAGCTAATGAGTACATGCTCCTTTGAGCCAATGACATCTAGAAATCCTGACTGTTCCAAAAGTCAAGATTTTCAAGTGTCTGCCTTGAAACGATATTAAATCATGTAAGTATTTTGATGATATAGTAATAAAAGATGCCAGTTAAATCTCTTACTCTAGGTATGCTGAAATAAATAGGCAGGACCTGTGTCGAATATGAAAATTGTTATCTTTCACTGTCACTAACAATGTCTTTGCAGCGCAAACCGTTTTTTGAAAACTTTATTATGTGAGAGCAAATTAAATGAAGATATATGTTTTATGAGGAAGGGGTACAAACATTCATACCCACACACAATTGCAAAAAATGCAAATGTCATATTAAAATTTTTATTCATATATAGTAGAAGGTCCATGCAAGAATTTGGGAACCTCTAACTGGGATGTTTGAAGTTGTGCTCTTAAGGATATACAATTATTCCATTTGCACTAAGTGCTTCAGCAACCCCCCCTGAAAGCAGTTCTGCTTCTTTGGGGATACAACTGCATGCCCTGTTGCCCACAATCATGTGCTTAAAATACAGTATCTGGAAATCTAGGCCTGCCTACTGTACATGCCATATATTTTTTTAATTTCCAGGAAAAATATTCAGCTGTTTCAAGTCAAATTGCTGAAAACTCTCACACTACTGAAGATATTAAAAACAAACTTGGTGAATTAAATTCATTATGGAACATGAAGGAAATGCAGATCGAAAACACAGAAAAATCTATAATTGATTTGGGGTAAGAGCTACCTCTTATGTGAATTTTTAAGGGTAGTTATGTTATTACTTTTACAGTATTATTTCTAGGAAATATAACACAATTTTCCTCAATGATTTGAAGGTATTTTTGTTTGATTATTGCTTACAGTTTTAATGCCTTTGTAGAAGTCATTCATGATAAATTGTCTGCCTAGCAAATGGAATTCCAGGCATCAGAATTATTTCTGGAAATCTAATAATATTCATGATCAGTTGCATCCTTAATTGATGGAGGATTCCTCACATTCCGTGTTTTCTCTGGTTTAAGATACATGGACCAATTCTTACTGTGACCGATGAGTCCCACAAATAGTCTCAAAGGGCTCTAGCCAACGGCACATGCAGGCTGCCTGCTGGGCCATGCAGGCCTTGGAGGGCCAAGAGAGTCCAGCGCAGGGCCACAAGGATGATCAGGGGCCTGGAACATCTGCCCTATGAGGAGAGGCTGAGGGAGCTGGGCCTGTTCAGCTGGAGAAGAGAAGGCTGAGAGGGGACCTGAGCAGTGTCTAGAAGTACCTCAAGGGAGGCAGGGAGGAGGATGGGGCCGGCCTCTTTTCACTGGTGGCACCAACAGAACTACGTGCTCTAGGTGTCCCTGCATATGCAGGGGGGTTGGACTAGATGACCTCTAGAGGTCCCTTCCAGCCTTAAGCATTCTATGATTCTATGAAGTGTGCTGGTGCTGGTTGCCCAGCAGGCTTCCTCTGCAAGGATCAAGGTGAACCCGCTGGGCAAGGCCAAAGGGAACGCAGCTGGTAGTGCTGGATCCTACAGGATTCATGAAAGGAAGGATCCCTCTTCATGAAAGGAAGACCCAGGTGTCATCGTATTACATTTCTCTGTCTGCCATCTCATGCACTTACGTATTGTTGTGTTGCAAGACTATTCCGTTAGGTTCTTGATTAGAAAAAAAAATAAAGCAGTTCTCTATGTACATTTTTAAGCCAACTGTATGTGAGTGGATGTTTCAGCTCTTTATTCAAACACAATGATTCAGGGGGACCGAATGTGCAGCTGAGCTTATTGACCTTCAAGAATGGAAGGCATCTTTTCATGCCTCAAAACCACTTTGAAGTCAGGCTTTTCATACCAGTGAAATGCTATATCGAGATGCGCAGAAGGAGTCATATCTTTTTTGGTTCATACTATATTACTGATTATTAAATTAAATATTAAAACGATAAATAAATGCTTTAACATTCTGTGTGGGCAGAATATCTCAATTAAATAATTGAAACATTTTTCTTTCAAAGGAAAAAATTAAGTGATGTGATGTCTAAGCAGCAAAATGTTCAGATGGCATTTAATGATCTCCGAGATGAGCTAGCAGAATATGAAAAAAGATTAACTCAGGAAGAAAAAACATATGGAAAGTTACTACAGACTAGAAGGAAAAACTTGAAAGACTTGGAAGTGAGTATTACTAGTCTTGTGTTATTTTATAGAAGTAAACTATTTGGTTCCTTCTGACTCTTTTTAGATGTGCAGTTTTATCTAAAGCTTAAAATCAATAGTATATTCTTGTCAGTATGCGAAAATCATTTTTTTTCTGTGGTAGGATTTTATATTTCTGAGAATAAATAGGTGATTTTAGAAAAAATTATAAAATTGTTCATTTGATCTTGCACTTTTAATTTTCTCTTAATATTTAAGCATATTTTATCTTCTGTATTTTCTTTAAGTTTGATTTTGTTTCCTATGGAAAGAAGCAAATCTCTCCTCTTAACTTGAAAAACTTATTCTCATTAATCATCCTTTTCACTAACTGTTCGGTATAAAATCTCACAGCATTGATCAGTCTGCAATTTTTCATCACTTCCTTACATGAATAGTGTTCAGTGCATATAGAATTAAGAGCAGGGCAGGCAAACTTTGTGTTTTTAGATAAAGCTGTTTCTGAACTGTCAAGAGCTACTCAGTTATGTGACCCCCCATCTGGATCTCAGATGCTGCAGTTGATACCAGGCAGATGGGAGCCAGAGTCTGTGTGGATGTAACTGAGCTACCAGAGTCTTTGGAAACAGGAGTATGAAATATGCTGTAGCTAGTACCAAATCTTCAGAGAAATCAGATGCAGTAAAATTCTCTTACTTCTTTTCTGCAATATTCCTACTTTTTTCCCCTAAAATTAGGAAAACACTTAATTCCTCATGTTTATTTTTAGTTTGTTTTTATGAGAGAATGACCACTTTAAAATATTTGCCCTTCCTTTGATTGGGGAGTTATCCTTAGGTTAATATTTTTGCATTTGCAGTTGTGTTAAAAACAGTATAAATATTACATTTCAGTTCTGTATTTTTTACTTTCATGTTCATTATACACTTTCCTCAAATAACTTTAAATAGCTGAAAAAAAAACTAGTTACTTAATTGTATTTAATATTCATTTTTAGTTTCCATTTCTTATAAACACTTTTGGAAACCAAGAATATACTCATGAAATTTATGTAAACATATCAATATTCTTGCCTCTTTCATTGAGTTGTTTTCAGTTGTGCAAAAAGATGGAAAATTAATACACAATGATATCCTGAAATCTCCTTTCATAGTAGTGATGTGGAAAACATTTACACTGATTTTTATTTTGTCTCAATGCTGCATGGCTGATGCTGTGGTTTATTAGGCTGTTGCATACTTGTTTTGTTTTCACAAAATCTATATTGACTAGGATATAAAAGAAAATGAAATAATAATAAAACACTTTTTCTTTAAGGGGAAATTTCTGTTTTTTTTTTTTTTTAACAGAGATACCAATCCATTCCAAATACAGTATTTGCTATTGTTAAATTAATTCTGAGGTCAAAAATACTTACTGGTGTATGCACTATCTCATCTTCATCTTAAATTTAGAAATCACTCCATATTCCAGTATTCCAATGAGGAACCTTTCTTAGCTCCTTCTTCAGAACTTCAAGACTTTTTCCTAGTTCCCTACATCTAGTATCTACTTCCATCTATCTTGCTTACTGAGTTATGGGTAACAGTATTTCTTTATTGAATTAATGGTAGTACAATGTTTTTGTTACACACAAGAAGTGGAACACATTTCTGGTCTCTATGATACCATCTTTTCTTCTACACCTGCAGCTGAAATGGAGGCACAACCTATCGCCCTTTAAATATTTACATGTTATTACCCAGTTATTTTAGATTCTTTCTTCAATATCTTTGTGGGAAATGCAGATATAAGCATTTATTCACAGCAACCAGAAAAATCACACTAATCCATTTGCAAATGTGTAAAAAAAAAAACCAGAGAAAAAAAAAATCCGATGTACTTCTGTTAAGTAAAAAATGCCCCTCTTTCTCTCCATTACCTAATCTATTCCATTTACTGTCCTTTTCTCACAGAAAAATATTCACAGTAATCTGTCTGTTTCTGTCTTTGTCCATATCTTACACTTCATGATTAACCTTTTAGGGAGCCCTTTGTGTGAGAGTGTCACCATTAGAAATCACCTCATTGTGCCTTTGGTTTTCATAAGTATAATTTTCCCTTTCAGATTCTACAGAGAATTTAATTTTTCTTTCCAAATTAATTTTCTTTTCCTCTCTGACAGATAGACTGGCAGTTCCTTGTAATCCAGATAATTATTGCTTCGTATTCCCAGGGCAGCAAATTTCTATTTTTCATTCACAGGTTCATCTACTATTTTTATCTGGTAACTAGAAATTCTTTATGCCTGTGAGGAGTAAAATTCTTCTCTTCCATGTATTACAGTAGATTTTCCTCTTCTTCTTCATTGCAATTTCCGCAATAGCATGCATTTTTGTAAAGCCATTTAAATAGGATAAAAGTGTGTGGTGTGTTAGGGATTTTTGACTGGCAGCAAGCACGTGGTCCTTGATCACTATGAGCTGTCAGTGTTTGAGTGATTGTTTCCCCGCAGATTCAAGACTTGCTTTTTGTGTTTTTAATGAGTTCATTTTTGGAATGTGAACCATAGTAGTTCTCGTAGTGTTTCACTATATTCTCTTCTTTGTAAACTTTTGGCGATAAAATATTATCATACATTTCCCTTCTTTGCACATACTTAAAGAAAGAGATAAAAATATGTTTCTTTTGTAGGTCTTCATTTATCAGAGGATATGGAGGGGGAATAGACAGTGACCTTCCTCAGGACAGCTTAGGAGTGTTGACTATTTAGCTTACAAAAGAGTAAAAATGGAAAATATAATGGAAATATAATGTCTTTGGAAATACAATGAAAGATGTAAGAGATTTTCTGAAAATGCAGGAGGCGGGTGAAAGATAGAAAAGATTTTTTAGGTGTTATACTTTTACCTTGCAGAATTCATTGTAACTAGATACTGGTAATTAGGAAGATTCTTAAAATGCAACATGATTAGGAGTCTTGCTGAGTAAATACATATCTGTATGATTGCATAAAAAATAGATAGCTAGGCAGTTAAGAGCCTATTTGTGTTACATATTGAATAGGTTGTGAATTGAGCTGCAATAAATGCAAGTGTATGCAGATGAATTTCTGTACTGTCCCAGGTCCCCCTCTGTGTGCCCTGGTTGACAACAACAGGTCTAGGTACTTTTATTATTAATTTTTTTACGTCTCATTTGGAAGTGTAGCTCAACTTCATAATTCTGAGACTACATCAATTGGCTGTTCAGTCACTGTCCCTGCTTTTATAATGACCTTTTATTAATTTTCTTTTAAGCCCAATAACTCTGAAGTGATTTATTTTGTTTTGTCTTATGCCAAAGCGTGATTTTCCGTTGAAGACACTCAGCAGTGTGTTTGAGGAATACATACATCCTCATTCTGCTGACAGTGATTTTTTTTTAATACCAGCTGTTGTCACCTCACAAATTTGTAATAACGAAGAGTGACATTTATCGAACTGTGACACCTATATTTTGCAACACCATCCATACATTACCACACATAAGTGATTCTTTGCTCTTTTATTTGGTGCTGAGATGTAGACCAACTCTAATCAATAGAGATCTGCCCAGGATTGAGAAGTCTGCTCACTTTGATGCAAGATGAGGGAACAATACTTAAAAATAAAGTGAAGTCACTTAATACAAAAAAGAAAGATGAATGAATGAATCAGTGTAGTATTTTTCTTTTTGCCTTAGTCTTTATGGTGGTGATAGTTACTTTATAAAAAGTCTGTTTTTTTTTTAGACCACCACTGCAGTTTCTGACTCTAGAAGGTAAAGATGAATGGGGAGAAGAGGTTTGCAAGTGTCTAACATAAGCAAAATATGACATAAGCACATCTCTCTTTGGTCTTATAGAAAACTGGCAAATGCGATATAACTGACACTGAAAATAATCTAATGCAGGATTTCGTGATGTATGCAGCATGAATATCTTCGAAAAAGAAGACACATACATCTGTTTTTATTGGTGCAGTATCATATAGGCATTACAAGAAGTATGATAGGTTTTATAACATTAATGTAGAAGAGAGAAACTGTTTGGGGAGAAAGAAGGGACTTCAGGAATTTAATGTTTAGCAGATGACTTTAAAACAGCAGAGAATTTAAGAGTGTCTTCATTGTTCAGATGTAAGACATAAAAGTTCCATTATTGAATCGGATGAAATGTCCTTCTAGCCCTTTAGTATCTTTTCATTTTGTGATGGCTAGTGTGAATGGTCTGGGAAAAGTGTGAGAAAAAAATCCCGATATGTTGTTCTAGCTTTCATAAATCACTGATGTAGAAATTTGCTGAGATGAGCAGAAGCTGTGAACTGGCTGTTTGCAAGGACTTTTCCCCTTGAGGTTGCTTAAGAGATTGTGAAGAAGACTCACAAAAGTCAGGGAAGAAGAGAAGCCCAGGAGTGTTTGAGAAAGAAAGAGCTGTATGGAGAGCAGGCCAAAAAAGGCACCATCCTCACAGAAAACTGCAATGATGCTGTAATGCAACGTGGAAGTGCTTTGTGGTAGATTAGGAGGCTCTGTCACCCAGTGTGGAACACACATCTGTGACCAGTTTTTACAGGCTCTGATTTTGGGGGCCTGAACCCAAGTTAACAGATAGGATAGGAGATACATGTGAAAGAGAGAGAGTGATAGAAAATGGAGTAAGACAGGAATATGCCTGTGTTTAAAGTGAGAAATGAGTGACTGAAAAAACAGTCCTTACAGTGGGAAAATCAAAAACAGGAAGCTTCTAATTCATAGAGTATAGAGGATTTTACTGTAGGAGAGATGTTCAAGATATTCTGATTTAGGATTCCTAGAAATTCTTGTCAGACATTACATTGAATGGCAGCTACTGTCTCGGTAGTTGAACAAACTAGAATATTTTTTTCAAGTATCATGAAGTACAAAACTGGAAGGGGATGCTCCTAAACAGGCTGTGAATATGCATGATAACATTTCACACCTATCCATAATTAACCCAATTAACCCAGCGCAACATACATATTGTTGTTTGGTGTGTGAGAA